CTGTGATCCGTGCCCGTTTATTAAAGTGAGGGTTGGACTGATCGCTGGACCCAAGCTGACACCTGGTTTCTCAGGATGAGGTTTGGGGGCCGACGTGGGGAACGGTGCAGTTTAACGTGTAAACGTCCAGACAATGTAACAGTGTGTGACAAGGGTTCACCTGCCTTGCGGGGCCAAGGGGTGATGGGTCTGTTTGTGTTTATCCGAATCCCGGCAGGATTATCGGGTCCATGTGACGTCGGGTGTTCTCCCTGAGCCAAGCCAGATGGAGAGCATTGTCCAGTGCAGCGGAGCCACCGTGCTGCCCAAAATGCCGCGCATGTACAAGGTAAGACTTGTCCTGCTGCCCACTAACTGCTTATTGTCTGTGTGGCTGCCAGAACTCTACAGGGCAAGGAAGGACCTGTGCTGACAGGAGAGAGAATGAATTTGTGTGTGATTAGTGTGTGTGTGTGTGTGTGAAAGTAAATCCAAATAGTTTTCAGCCTCGAGTAATTTTCAGGGCTGTGGGACCCGAGTGAAGGACATGTAATGGTTCAGAGAGACTCTGAGGGCATGGGATCGAATCCCACCCTGGGATAAATCCAGAATAACGATCATCAGGCTGTCATCAATCGTCCTTTAGGAAAGAAAATCTGCTGCCCTTTCCAGGTCTGGCTTATGAGTGACTCCACACCCACGGCATCTGAAATGGCTGAGCAGGTCACTCAGTGCAAGGGCAGTTAAGGATAGGCGACGTCAGCCGTGCCCCATCCTGTGCCGGAGTTTTAATTGAAATTGTTCTGGCGCAGATACAGAAGGCCGAGTGGCCTGTGTTGCACGACAGCAGTTCTCAAAGTCTCAGTGCTTTCCAACTAACGAAGCCATTCCCTTAAAGTGCCTTCACTGTTGTGATGTCGGAAATACAGCGGCCAGTTTGCACTAAGCGTGCTGTCTCCAGCTCACTGTCCCTGTGATGTTGGTCACTGAGCTGAGCTGCCCTGCTCCTGTATGAAATGGGACCTGCGATTAGTGCACTCAAACACACAGATTAGAAAAAGGCCATTTGGTATCTTGAACCGGAAGGTGTGCATCATAGCGGCTCTTAACACGTTAAATAAAATATCTACATGACAGGAGAACCGAGCTGTCTGATGTCCTGCCGTTCAGTCTGACGTGTGTCAGTATCGCCCCCTGCAAGTTCCCCTCCAAGCCACTCACCAGCCTGACTTGGAAATATATCGCTGTTGCTTTAGTGTCGCTGGGTCAAAATCCTGGAATTCCCTCCCGAAGGGACATTGTGGGTCAACCTACAGCACGTGGACTGCAGCGGTTCAAGGAGGCAGCTCACCCCCACCTTCTCAAGGGGCAGTTGGGGACAGGCAACAAATGCTGGGCAAGCTAACGATATCCTCTCATGCCATGAACAAATTTAACAAAAGGCACAAAACTTTGTGTGGAAACCATTCACACAAACACAGGAAACATTTTCCCGGAATCCTGGTCAAAATCTATCTTTCTCATTCGTCATCACCTTGACAGGTTTAATTAATCTGCTGTTGGGTGGGTGTTTGTGGTCAGCTCAGCTGTCCCTAACCGATTGGCTGTAAAACATCCTCAGGCACTATATAAATGCAGGTCCTTTTTATCATTTTGGTGGGCATCCTGCAGTGCGGGCAGTTGTCGGATGGCATTAGTTATCGACTGTGGTGATTGTGATTTGAAACTGTTTGTGTGGGTTTTTTTTCCCATCAATGCCACAGGCGAAAACCCTGGTGATTTCATGCCCAGACGACCTGCCCAAGTGCAAACCTGCCCGGAATGCCAAGGTCCCTATTGTCAATGCCGAATTCATCCTGACTGGGATTCTGCAGCAGGTGGTGGACTTGGTGAGTTACCGACTGGACCTGGACGTCGCTGACCAGCCAGAGGGGAAGGTCAAAAAGAGGAGTTTAGCAGCAGCACAGTCCACTGAAAGCAGGAAAAAGAAGCGTTGACTTGTTTTAAAACCAGATGTAGGAATTTTATTGCAGTTGTAAATCCGTAATGTAATTTTATACATATTAAAAAAGAATGAAGAAACCTAATGTAATGATTTCATTCCCAGTAGTCGGTCGGGGAGTTGTTTTTAACCACTGACTGGAATTGCAAATGATAAACACCTCAGGAATTTTTGTAGCTGTCCCTACTTTTGCAGAGGTCTTTTGAGTGTTTTGTGAGAAATGAATTTCAGTCGAATGGTAAGGTATTTACCAGTGCCCACAGTGACAGACATTGCTACACACCAAAAGCTTGCAGCCTGTAAATGTTTAGTCCCAGAGAGAGAGAGGGAGCTGTCACTTTGCCACTGTGAAGATTGCGTACAGATCTCACCGTGCCACAGAATTATTTCTTTAAACAAAACCTGCTGCTACCAGCTTGCTGATCTGTGTGTGTCCTGTGTTTAAGTGTAGCGAAAGCTTGGTACATTAAAGGCTTTGTGTATTTTGTAATTGTGTGTGTCATCTTTTGATTGCCTGTGGATTAGTTTGCAATATTCTGGCACTCTACAATGGATCATCCTGCAGGTTCAAACCTCCTGCCTCCAGCTCGGTCGCCAAACCTCCATCAATAACGGTCACCTCAGGCCTGTCCTCCATTCCTCCCCCCCAGCCCGGCTGCTCACTGACCGACAGACACCACGCTGCAGCCAACTCCTTTAAAAATAAACACCCGGGAATGAAAATAAACACCAACATCTGGGACAACGAATTGTCTCGTGTCTCTTCCTGTGTACGCAATTCTGAGGGAGAGCCCATTTGTTTTGGGAGCCTCTGTGCACCCAGGTTTTATCAATACATAAAGGAAGACTCGAAAGACTGGGCTTTCCTGGCATGGGGATGTTTTATAACACTTTGTAGCCATTGAATTATTTTTGATGGTGCCATCTCTGTGGTGTAGCATAGATTCAATTTTTTTTTCCCCCACTTTTGCCAAGGGTGCTCCTGCAGCAGGCTTCTGGATTTGAAACTGTGAGCATCTTATGGAACAGAGAATCAGTTGTAGCCTGGTTAACTGGGTGGTGTTTCTGATTATGTATGTGCTGTTACTGTGGGGAAATAAATCTTGAGTTTTGACACTTATGGCCAGGTGACAGGCGATAGAACACCTTCCACTCTCCTTCCAGTTCTCAGTTCTGCATAATCAGTGCTTTGAAAAGAACTTACTTGTCAATTTAATAGGTGCTTAATTGTCTAACTGCTATGACTGTAAAAAACAAATGCAGGTTTTCTTGAGGTTTAAAACAAAAACAGTTTGCTGCTCACATCTGATCAAAGCTACAAAATGCAGTGACTCTAACTCTCGCATGCATTCGATCACTCTCTCTCGTACGTGCCCCCTCTGCAATCTCCCTCTTTCTCAACCACGCACATGCACACACAGGGTGGGTGATACAGAGATAGGTTACACAGAGCTTAAATTATTAAGAATATCCCCAAAAATGACAATCATACATGGACCCTGAAGGTTGTATGGTAATGCTTTGTTCAGTATGCAAGGAGTGAAGGGATATGGACCAAGGGCAGGCAGAAGGGATTAGTTTCATTTGGCGTCATATTCAATACGACTTTGTGGTTCGAAGGGCCTGTTCCTGTCCTGTATAGTTCTGCATTGAATTTTCCTAGATTCTGTGCAGCAGTGATTTAAGGATGTAGAGTCTGAATGGATGCTCTCTCGTCTTTCCTGTAGTGTCAGCAGCTGTTTGGTATCCAATGGAGAACGCTGCCTGTGCTGTTTGGCTGGTCACATAGAGGTTGTAGATGTTGGTTTGTTTGCTGAGCTGGGAGGTTTGATAGCAGATGTTCATCCCTTTACTGGATGATATCCTCAGTGCTGTGGAGTCTCCTGTGAAGTGCTGTTGTCTTCCCGAGCTACAAATTTTCACTCAAAACAGAAACAGGTGGCATTGGATTCCCATGGGATTGTGTCCCAAGAGATTGGGGAATGGCTGGACAGGAGGCCAGTGTCATAATCCATTCCATTGGGACAAACAGTTCTCCAGCCTCCTGCTACTAACACTGTCTGACATGCAGTAACAGGTGGATTCAAAGTGTACATTTAAATGGGTTTATAGCCTCAGCCCCAGGACCACTCCACCGTGTCATCTTTTCTGTAGCTACACCAGGATTTCTGATTTCAGCTGGCAGGGATGATCCTTGAGGTGCAGTGGTAGTGTCCTTACCTCTGAGCCAGGAGGACTGGGTTCAAGTCCCACCTGCCTCAGAGGTGTGTAAATAACACCCTGAACAGGTTGATTAAAAATACCTATAAGCAAGAGGTTTCCTTGCTCATGTTGACTTGATGTCACAAAACTTCATCGGGTCTGGAGTCAATGTTGGGAACTCCCAGGACGACTCCCCCTGACTCTATACTACCTGACCGATGGGACAGGCCATACCCAAGGACTGTGATGATGCTGTCTGTAAGGTATAATTCTGAGAGTATGACTAAATCAGACTAGTCTGAGAGACAGCTCTCCTCCCAGATATTAGTATCAGGATTGACAGGACTGTAATTGCCAAAGTCGACTTTATGGTGTTTTAGTTGATACGTGGTGGTCTGTGCAATTTCACTACCTTTTTCCTTTCTAGTAGTTCATACAACTGAGTGGCTACCTCGGCCATACCAGGAAAGGACAGTAAGTGAACCAGATGGATTCCTACAACAACTGACAGTATTTACATGGTCATTGTTAGATTGTCTAATACCAGATTACCTGCTGTGCTGGGATTCAAACCCAGGTGGCCAGAACATCCTCTGGGGCTCTGGACTACTAGTTTAGTGGCAATGTCACCAGGCCATTGTTTCCCCTCAACAAGGGAGTCAAAGGTTATCAAGTCTTACCTTAAAAATATTCAATCCAAAGACTTGCAACACTAAGAAAAAAAACTTTTTAAAAATTGCACCCTCTACTGGAGTTTCTCAGTGCAGAGATAAACCGTCTCTAATTCTGCACCTTAACTGAGATGTGAAACAGCAAATTGATTTTAAAAAGTCATTTTTATTTATTAATACAAAACATTTTTCCAGTAAAAAAATAAATATAAACAATGTACAGTTTACAAGGATACAACTGAAGAATTTGAGAACTTGTCTGCAAAGAAACACTGAAAATGAAATTCAACCAAACCATTTAAAATTCACAGTGCTCTTTGGTATTGAATGTTGGGTATTTATTTTCACTTCCTTAAACAGGTGAACATCAAACACACACCTTCCCAACTACACTTTGACCACACTTTGCTGAAAGTTCAGTTGGTTATGATCCAGAGACTGTGGGTAGAGACCTGAGGAGTAAGCTGATGTCAAGACCGAACTGCTCTGAAGAAAGGTCAATGACCTGAAATGTTAACTCCACTTTGTCTCCACAAATGCTGCCAGACCTATTGACGTTGATCCAGTATTTTTTTTTGTTCTTATTTCAGATTTCCATCATCCACAATATTTTGCCTTAATATGGAATATAATAGGGATGAGCACTGCTGATTCCTGTTTTTCATGCATTCTTGTAATTAAACACTGAATTATCGGAGGTGAACTGGATGCTGTTGTTCCTTCCACAAGGCTGACCAGTAGACTGCACATTCCTTTTCTTACTCGCTCTCCTCTTCCTCGTTTGTGTCTCCATCCTCCTGATCCCCAATCACAGCAGCACTCAGGACCTCCAGCTCATTGAGAACCTCAGCAAGGGAAGCTGGATAAGAAAGAACTTCCATTTACACAGCCCTTCTCACAGCAAGTGCTCAGTGCAGCCACTGCAGTGCTATTCAAAATATGGTCAATGTTACAAGGTCGAAAAGGCAGCAACGCAACTGTATGCAAGTTCCAAAACAGAATGGAAAGTTGCTAGAGGAGACCATTTGGCCCACTCCACCTGTACTGGTTCTCTGAAAGGGCATTTTGCCTACAGTCATTATCCTGCCTTCTCCCCTCAACCCTACACATTCTTCCTTTTCAAATAACAGTAATTCCATTTCAAATGCCACAACTAAACCTACCTTCCCATGCTCTCAGACAGTACATTCCAGACCCTAACCACTCTCTGCATTGAAAAAAAACGTTGTCCTCAAATAGTTCTTGCTGGTTATTTTAAATCTGTGCCTCTCATTCTCATAATCCTATCATAATTGGGGACAGTTTCTCCCTCACCTACTCTGCCCAGGCCCTCTGCAAAGTGGGGCAGCCGATGTACACACAGCAGAGAGACCAGTAAATCTGCTTTAGTGATATTGGCTGAGGGATAAGTGACTTATCAAGTGCTTACAGTGATTTAATTCTTCCCCATTTTAGTTGGCATTCCAGTCAAATCATTCCTTTCAAGGACAACAAATGGAGGCCTTGCCAATGATGCCCACACCCAATAAAAGAATTAAGAAGCACCTTACCCTTCTTCTGGGCCCGGCTGCTGGTTTTTGAGGCCTGCGAGTCTGGTAACGGCCTGGCCAGCTCCTCTTCGTCAGGCAGGGCGGCTATGGACTGGATAGCCACAGTTCGGCTTTTCCTGAACTGGCTGAGTAACCCTTCCTGCCTGAGTGTGGCCTGTCAAACAAAAACAAAAGATAACCTCACTGTTCACCTTCCCCAGAAGTAAATCTCTTCCCTCTGGAGCACAGAAGTGAGGAAGGCTGAGCTTATTTCCTGTGCCTCACTGCTGTCTGGGTTAGAAGTCAGTGGAGAGTAACAATAACCCCAGTCGGTCAGGCAGCAACCCTGCAGGATTGGGTGGGATGTGGGATTTGATTGCTACTCCTAACTGACTGCACAGTGTAAAATCTGACAGAGTTAGACCAGACCACATCCAATTTCCTGACTGTTCATCTGCTTTCAGTAACTGTAACTAAAAATGCACCGGGGCGCTGTTGTGCCCCATGATTCTGTTCAATTCAAAAAAGGTGCAACGCCTGGCTACGTTCCTATTGCCTGCAGAGGACCGGTCCCTGTAAGGGAGTACATGCAGCTTTGAGCCACATTGTGAATCTGGCTGATAACCCGAAGTTTGCAGCTCGTGTTACCTCTAACAGGTAAAAGAAAGATGTCCAGGCAATGCGGCTTTTTTCATTGAAACGAAAGCATGGGGTGGGGAGCAATACCAGCGATGCACTCTCCATGGCAATGCCTTGACCAGTCTGAGGTGACCTGCCAACAAGTCGGCATCGTTTTCTCTGGCACAACACTTGGTTGTTCTCTTTGAGATTTGGCATTCTTGTGATTCCGTCCTGAGGAGTGTAAGATGATGTGTTTTTTCAGCATTAATCATAATAATCCTATTGATTAAATAACAAAGGCCTAGCTACTCTGCAACACACACAGTGCTCAGCAGCGCTTAGAAGGGTCTCGCTTAGAAACAGTGATTGAGACAGTAATTACATAAACATCAGGACTAGGGCCTGTGATCTTGCCAAGGATCTCCACCTGTCTTTCCTCCTGCAGATAGTGGTAGGAAATGGCTCTGTCTAGAGGTGTTTTTACTGGTGTACTGGGGACTGAGCTTGATTTCCCAGGAACAACAATGTGGCCCAGGCTGATAGCTCCCTGCAGCACCATCTACGCATGGGGAATTGACGTAAATCTAGAAAACGCAATGAGTCTCTCCCCATTGCTGTCCACTTCCGGATCTTCCGTTTCTCAGAAACAGGCTGTTTGATCCACAGCAATATTTGTGCTCCATGAGCTACGTCTGACCCAACATCATCTCACCAATCACCATATCCCCAATCCCCATCCTCTTCACACTAACCCATTCACCATTCTGTCTGATAGCGAGTTCCACGATCCTCTGGGCAAAGCCATTTCTCTTGATCTGTTTGATCACGTGGTCTCAGGACCCACTGGCCTTCTTGAGACCCACAAAGTCAACCCTGTAAATGTAGGGCACCACTCACCACCAGAAGGTTCCTGTCCCTCTCCAGTTCATGCAGCTTGGTACTGAGTTGCTGGATTTCCCTCTGGTGCTGCTCTTCGTGTAACTTTTCACATGCCTGCATTCGCTCTTTGTCCCGGGCTGCCTGCCTGTCAGTTTGACGGAGGGCGACGACTATATAAAACCAGGACAGCATACAAAGCAAGTGTCACGCTCAGCAAGGGCCTGAACAAAATGCTTCAGTGGCACAATTCACGGTTTTTAAACCGTTCTCACACAGCATCGCCCCTTTTTTACCCAAATGTGGTACACTGCAAAAACCCCTTTGTTCAGCTCATCTGGTACCGCCTCTAAGCTGATGCACGGTCTATAGGAGGCACAGGATTGCAGATGTCTGTTTGTATGTAGGTGCAGTAGGACAGAGCAGGGAAGAGGGCAGACAGGAATCAGAGTGTGCCACAGACAGGAGAGCAGAGAGCAGCAAATGAGGGCAGCACAGGAGGGTGGACTGTCAGAGGTGAGTCGACACAGGTAGGGGAAAGTCTCTCTGCAGTCTATTGACAATCTCCAGAGAACCAGGGCACATACAGCATACGTCGGCAGAGTCGAGAAAGGTACAGGATGGCCAATATGACACTGAAACAGGAGTGGGTCATTCTGCCATTCAATAGGCTCGTGGATGATCCAACATGCACACTTTCCCGAGTTTGCTCCGTAATCCTTGATTTCCCGAAAAAACCAAGAATCTATTAATCTCAGCCTTATATATACACAAGGACGCTCACCCACAGCTCTCTGTGGCAAGGAGTTCCAGAGATTCTCAACCCTCTGAGAGAAGACAGTCCTCCTCATGTCAGCCTTAAAATGGTGCCCCTTTACTCTGAGTCTATGCCCTCTGTTCCTAGACTCTCCCATGAGGGGAAACATCTTTTCAGCATTTACCCTGTCAAGCCCCTTAGAATCCGACATGTTTCAGTGAGATCACCTCTCACTTTTCTAAATTCCAATGAGTGGAGTCCCAACCTGTTTAGCCTTTGTCCATACCAGGGATCATCCTAGTGAACCTTCTCTGAACTGCAGAGAAGGCCCAGGGAGTAAAGGTTCTTTTGATACTGGGTTGAGTTCGGACAGTTAGCTCTATCATTGGACTCTCACTGTTTGTACTGACCACGATTGAAGTTTCCCAGTTTTAGACAAGCTGGTTATTAGGAAGATGCTATTATTAAAAATAAAAAGGCTAAATCTGATAAGTTTATTTTGTGATTGTCACTGATTACCCCAGAATTTTACTACAGCCAGTTTAAAACGAGCTCAGAGTGCAGACATTCTGTAAAAACCGAAAGAACTGTGGATGCTGTAAATCAGGAACAAAAACAAAGGGACCCTTGAAGGGTCACCGGATCCGAAATGTTAACTCTGTCTTTTTCCTTCACAGATGCTGCCAGACCTGCTGAGCTTTTCCAGCAACTTTGTTTTTGTTGCAGACATTATGTAACTGCAAGGCTGACCACATATTGAATATTTATATCTGCCTGTGACCATCAACATGACAGACTTGCAGTTTTAGTGTTTTTCATGTAAATATGCCACAAAGACTTATCAGTTGCAAATTGCCATTAAGTCACGAGAGAATATTCTATCTGATTTCCCACTCACCATCCCCTCGATGTGCTCACTCCCACCCCACTCACCGGTCCCTCGATGTGCTCTCTCCCGCCCTTTGGTGCGCTCATTCCTACCCCACTCACTGATCTTTTGGTTCACTTACGCCTACCCCATTCACCGGCCCCTCGGTGCACTTGCTCCTACCCCATTCACCGACCACTGGAACACTCGCTCCCATCCCACTCACTGGCCCCTTGGTGTGCTCTCTCCTGCACCTCGGTGTGCACGCTCCTACCCTACACACCTGCCTCTCGGGGCTCTCCCTCCTGCCCCCACCTACCAGCCTTGGTGTGCTCCCTCCGGGCCTCGTTGAGACGTTTCTCCATCTTGGACAGTTGCTCGGCCAGCCGCTGCTCTGCTTCTGCCACTTTCTCTGCGAGAGCTGCAAAGCCAGCACAGAGCACATGACGACGGAATTAAAGTTCTGAACATATGAGTGACAAGCATCAATGCCACCTCAGACAGAAAAACCCCTGGGGAGTGGATTCAGTGGGTGAAGGGGCAGGACGGTGGCAGAAAGGAGATCCCTACGGGGTTGGGGTTGGGGGGCGGGGAGGTTAGTGCATGCTCTTCACTCTAAGAGTCCAGAAAGTAGCACGATTAGAGAATTGAGTTTCGGAGCACTAACAAAATCACCTAGCCGCTACACCAGCTGTAGGTTTACTTACAGTGCCTTATGGATGGGTTATTAAACTGAGCTCCCATCGAGCTGCTTGGCTGACGGTAACATACCCTGTAGCACTGTTCAGAGAACAGCACAGGAGCTCCCCACGATGCTCTGGCCAGGATTTATCCCTCAACCAACATCATTGTGAGCGGAGCAATACACATTGTCTACAAGGACTTCAGCAAGGTGTTTAACAAGGTTCTGCATGGTAGTCCGGTTACCAAGGTTAGATCGCATGGGATCCGGGGGAACTAGCCAATTGGATATAAAATTGGCTTGAAGGTAGGACTCAGAGGGTGGTGATGGAGGGTTGCTTTTCAGACTGGAGGCCTGTGACCAGCGATGTGCCACAAGGATCAGTGCTGGGTCCACTGCTTTTTGTTATTTATATAAATGATTTGGATATGGATATACGAGGTACAGGTAGTTCTGCTATACTGCGTGTTTCGTTAATGCAAATTGGCTGTAACGCAATTGATGAATAATGGATGCTGTTTGGATAATGCAAACTTTCTGCTGTACAGGTATGGCAATTTTCTATAGCAATTTCCCTATAAGGTGATTTTCTATAACACAAGGTTACACAAGAACACGACTATCGTGTTAGAGGAGAACTACCTGTAGAGCAGGAAGTTTGTGTTATACAAACAGCGTCCACTATTCAACAATCGCATTACAGCCAATTCACGTTAACGAAACACGCGTTATAGCAGAACTACCTGTACAGGTATAACGATTTTCTATAGTGATCTCCCTATAACACAATCTCCTATAGCACGAGATCACACGAGAACGCAACTATCACATTATAGAACTACCTGTATGATTTGTAAGTTTGCAGATGACACCAAAACTGGTGGTGTAGTGGACAGTGAAGAAGGTTATCTCAGAGTACAACAGGACCTTGATCAGATAGACTGAGGATTGGCAGATGGGGTTTAATTTAGATAAATATGAGGTGTTGCATTTCGGTAAGGCAAACCAAGGCAGGATTTAGACACATAACAGTAAGGTCTTGGGGAGTATTGCTGAACGAAGAGACCTTGGGGTGCAGGTTCATTGTTCCTTGAAAGTAGAGTCTCAGGTAGACAGGATAGTGAAGAAGGCATTTGGTACACTTGCCTTCGTTGGTCAGTGTATTGAGTTGGGACATCGTGTTGCGGCTGTACAAGACATTGGTGAGGCCGCTTTTGGAATACTTTGTATAATTCTGGTCACCCTTCCATAGGAAAGATGTTGTTAAACTTGAGAAAAGATTTACAAGGATGTTGCCGAGATGGGAGGGTTCGAGAAGGTGAATAGGCTGGGGTTACTTTCCCTGGAGCATGGAGGCTGAACAGTGACCTTACAGAAGTTTATAAGATCATGAGGGAAACAAAACCAGTCTGACTGCAAGTTGATAAACAGCCAGATTCTAAACAAGGCCTCACACCTAAAATGCATTGTCTGAAGTGGGATGAACCTCTGGTATACTGAGGGAACTCATAAAACCTTTAGTTATCTCAGGACAGTGACTTGAAAGAAATTCAGGAATTTGCATATTGATCCTTTCTAACGGTATAGTGATTTAATAGCCGTCTTAGGTTTGTTCAACACCGCATCAGTGCTATGACCCTTTGATCTTTTGCTTATACAGAGTGTGGGGGATGGGAGTTCAAGAAGCTGTGGCCCTTCACCCAACTGGGAATATTAGCATTGGGCAGGGTGATCGGTCATTCAGGAGAAACTAGCCTTGTTCATATTTCTGCTGCTGCCGGCCCAGTTCGATCCGCAGGGTCTCCGCAGCTTCTTGACTGTCTGCAAGCTGCTTCTGACTCTCGCTCAGTTTCTCGGTCAGTCTCTGCTGGCACTGAGTCTTCTCTGTCAAAGCTTCCTCCAACTGGCCCATCACTACCAGGTGATCCTTTAAATCAGTGTCAACTGGAGCAAATGGGAAATATAAATACCAGTAAACTGTCCCAGAGAACACTTTGATTCTCAACAACAAACAAACTAGTATTCGTATCATAGTGAAACATCGCAAAGCCCTTCATGGGCCTGCTATCAGAGCACATCTGACAGTGAGCATTCCCCAGGAATATGCCAGGGCAGGCAATGACCAACTTGGTCAAAGAAATAGATTTTAAGAAGTGTCTTTAAGGAGTTATGGACAGAAGTGGAGAGGTTTATTTGAACTGCTGAAGGTGGAACTATTGGAATTGAGGATGACAGAACTGACGGAGAGCAGATACCTGGCATGACTTGGACAAGACTGCTTTTCCACAAGAACCAGCTGTTTTCTCATCTCACCTAAAAGTGCTGGCGGGTGTCATTCCCCCTGGACAGTTGCCCCTGTGGGTGGTTTTAGATCATTCTGGATCTCTACTTTATCTCCTTCCAACCACCACAGAGAGTGCGAACGTGTGTGTGTGTGTGTGTGTGTGTGTGTGAGAGAGAGTGTGCATGTGTGTGTTTCAGATTTTTGCTCTTCTTCGTGTGAGGAAGCGCTTCCTGGTATCACCCCTGAAGGTCAAGGCCCTGATTTTAATGACCCCTCGTTGTTCTGATCTCTAATCAGAGGACGTAGCTTCATTTACCATACTTCTGGACTCGGTTAATTATCTCAAACACTTCAATTCGTTATTAGATCACACCCCCCCAATCTTCCTCACATGTAGGATGCAAGTGTAACCTTATCACCTTATAATTGGCACGTGCAGTAATAGAAAACATTGGCACTATCGATTCAAAGTCAGTGGCTGTAAAGTGACGGGGGCATTACGTACAAAAACTGAACTTGCTGGAGAAACTCAGCAGGTCTGGCAGTATCTATGGACAGAAAGCACAGTTAATATTTCGAGTCCAGTGACCCTTCTTCAGAACCGTTCTATACCTGAAACATTAACTCGATTTTTGTTTCAGATCTCCAGCATCTGCAGTTCTTTAACTTTAGGGACATAATGTTCATCTCCTTCAAGATGTACCTACATTTTAGCCTGGCCTCAGTAACCTTCTTCTCGATCAGCTGGGAGTTCTTCTTCAGCTCAGCTGCTAACTGGTCCCGTTCCCTGTTCAGCAGCTCCAGCTCTTTCTCCAGATCCCCGTGGGAGCACCTGTGGGAACAGACACCAGAGGCTTTGGGGCTAGGAGGTTCGCGACATCAGCAGCACGTCCCGCACAGGCAGCGAGAGGGAACAGACGGACAAGAATCATGGTTGGGGGAAAGAAGGGACTCAAAACAAAATAGTGCTCGCCCGAAGAGATTGCACCTTTGTCACAAACACTGACCTGCCAGTGTCCGATCCTCCGTCTCCGCTCTTCTCCTGCAGCTGCAGCCGGAAGAGTGCATCCTTCCGAGCGAGTAACCCTGGGCAATGTGAGACACAAACCATCAGCCTGCAATCACACGCAATGCCAGCTCCCCACCATCAAGAGGTGTACTCCCAGCTCATCTTGCTTAACGATTTGTTCTGTTTTGGACTGATGTATCCACCCTAACAAGTCTAGGTATCAGATAGAGGGGACTGTATCTTTCAGCATGAGCTTGCGGCTGAGTAACTCTGAGCAGAAAGTCCTGGGTCAATTTCTGCGGGAAGCGTGGGCAGCGGAAGTTCTCATTGGGTAGAAAGGGGAACAGCAGTCCTTTAACTCTGCTCGTCTTTCCCGTTCAGTGATCTCAATTAGAATGTTCCTGAGTATGGTCGTTGATAAAGTTGCACTCCGTTTAAGAAGGGGCCCAAATATTTGCTGAAAGGCAGAAACTTTGACCTGGATCTAATCCAATTGATAAAAATTGCTTACCGTGGATGGTATCGATCCGCTTGTTAGCAAAGGTCACCCTCTGACCAAGGCTCACCAAACAACACAAGGCCTTCCTTTGTTCCGTCTCCTGCTCCAAGAATCTCTGGTAAAAACTGAGGAGTAATAAGAAGGAAGTGTGTTTTAAATTGACTGACAGTGCAATAGGTCCTGTAGATCCCCCCAATTCCATCCCTGTCTCTAGTTAATCGGTCTTGATCCGGACAATGGTAAATCCTAAACTCAGGGAGCGCACTGGGTAAGAAGCACTTTGATGTCCATCCTCGATAGGGGCAGACACCACTGGGAATTAGTATCAGTCAACTCAGTAATCCAACAACAACTTCTCTTTATGTCGCACCGCTAACATAATAAAACATCGCAAAGTGCGTCTTCACAGGAGTGATCAAAAGGCAAGATTAGATGCTGAGCATAATTGTAAGTCAGTTGTAATAAGCAGCTTGAAACAGACGAAGTAGAGAGGCTGAGAGGTTTAAGGAGAGAATGGCAGAGTTCCCGAACTAGGCAGCTAAATACAGCCACAAATAGCAGAATGGTTAAAACCGGAGTAGCACAAGAGGTGAGGATTAGATGATGTCGTGGAGGGCTGTGCAGCCGCAGTGGATGAGAGATAAGGAGGACGAGGCCAACGGAATATGAAAACAAGGAAGAGAATTTTGAACAAGAACGGTAATTGCCGGAGAAGCACAACATCTACAGAGAGAAAACAGAGCTCGGTGACCCTTTCTACGACCAAGAGAATTTTAAAACTGTGTTGCTTCACCAGGAGCCAGTGTAGGTCAGCGAGCACAGACATGAGAGGAATCAGGGCTTGGCATGAGTAATGATACGACCGGCAGAGATTTGGATGGCCTCATGTTTCCAGAGGGCAGATTCGTGGGTGGCCAGCCTCGACTGTATTGGAATCATCAGGTCTAGGGGAAGGAAAGGACTGGCAGTGGGAGTCAGCCATGGATGAGCTGAGACAGGCTTGCAGCCAGGTGATGTTACAGAACTGGAAACAGGTGATCTTTGCGATAGCACAGGTATGTGCTGAAATGTTCCACTGAGGCACAGTGTCGGCCACAGGTACAGTGAGCAAGGTACAACATCCTGCATCCAAGCAGTAATATGTAATCTAGCCAACC